GGGTTGAAAGTTATTTTCTTTTAGGGACTGAAACCCTTCAATCTAAGCTCTCCTGGCCTTTAAGGTTTGTGTTGAGAAGTCTGCTGAAATTCTAATGGAATTTACTTTATAAGTGATTTATCACTTTTCCCTAACAGCTTTTAAGAATCTGTCCTTTTGTTGTAGTTCCAGAATTTTGACTATGATGTGTTCTCTTCTGATTGTGGCCTCACTTATTTGTATGTTAAAAATTCTTTCCCCATACTGGAAATGTTTTCTGGTATCATTTTTGTGAAGAGGGTTTTTTTTTAAATGACATTTGTGTTGTCTTCTGATTTTTCACTGATTTCAATTAATCTTAGATTAGTCTTCTCTGTGTCAGCTACCAGTTGTTAGATACATTTCTCTCTTTCTCTCTCTCTCCAGGTATCTCTGAGTATATGGTCACTTCCATCCTGTCTTCTAGTTCTGACTCTCTGTTCTTTCATTGGTCACTTCTGTTGCCCATACTTTCAATATAATTTTTTATTTTTTATTTTTTGGTATTGGGGATTGAACTCAGGACCTTGTGGTTGCGAGGCAGGTGGCAGCACCACTGAGCTAAATCCCTGGCCTCAATATAATTTTTTTAATCTCCTAGATTTCTGTTTGGTACTTTTCAAGGACACTAATTCTTTGCTAAACTGGTCATTCATATTTTGTGTCATTTTGCTTAGCTCAGGTAGCTTTTTATTAGTGTCTCTTGTAAGCACTGATCATTTTGTTTATTAAGTCCATTATCTGTTTAGTTATATCATCTTTGAACTTGACAAGCACCTTATTGATCTAGTTTTTTTTGGTCTTCATTTCATATAATTCAGCTGTTTGGCTTTTGATTCCCTCCCCATTGGTTCCCTATGGATCAGCTTTGGGGAAGTTGGGGGTTTTTGCAGGCATTTTGTTGTCTTGTCTTCTCATTTTTTCCCCCTGGTGTTGAGGTTTGCAGGTTGATTGTGCTGAAATACTTTGTTGCTAGTATGGAGATCTTTTCAGTTAGTGTCTGCTTTTCAGTGATGTACTCTAAGCATGGTTAACTATAGGACTTTGCCTCTGTCCCAAGATCAGACTGCCTCTGTCTGGGGAAAGGAGGGTGCAGTGTAATTGGTCCAGCACCCAGTTCTCCAGAAATGAATCACAGTTGTTTTGATGACATGAGGACAAACCAGTTATTGGCATATGCTAAAAACTAATTAATAGCAACTACTGTGGCACCCTGGCAATAGCAACAAAATCAGCAAAAATAATAGAATAAAAGACAAACTGGATATTGATATATACCGGAAAAACCATGAGAGAGATCTGTAATTTCGGACAAAGACCAACAAAGTTGATTTATAGTACATATCTACTAGATGCAACAACTACTCCACCATTAATAATAGAATTCAACAATAAGAGCATAGATATCAAATATAATATAA